CATTTCTACTAAAAATACAAAAAAATGTAGCTGGGCGTGGTGGCGGGCACCTGTATGTAATCCCAGCTACTTGGGAGGCTGAAGCAGGAGAATCGTTTGAACCTAGGAGGCAGAGGTTACAGTGAGTTGAGATTGTGCTACGGCATTCCAGCCTGCGTGACAGAGCAAGACTCTGTCTCAAAAAAAAAAAAAAAAAAAGAAAGAAATCTTATATTTATTCTCAGTGTATAAAGCAGATAAAAGTAAAGCTCTGCAGATTGAAGAAGGGGTGAAGCTCAGGACACTTATGGCACCCACATTGGCTCCCCACTCCCTGAGTACCCTGAGTGGTTTCTGAGGCACATGTGAAGTATCCTGGGTTTATAGAAATTTGCACTGGAAAGCCAAGTTCCTTAATTGATGAGAAAATCAAGGCCTAATGGAGACAAATATTGTTCCCAAGAGCCACAGCTCCACTCTCTCAGCCCAGGATGCTTTCTGCAGGGCTGGGCTGCTTAGCTTCTGGGCCCTGGCTGGTCTCAGTGACAGGCTGCCCTGGGCAGGGTGCAGTGCGATAAGAAGGGCTTAGGACAGATGACTTAAGCTTGAGCCCTGGCTCGGCAAATCAGTAGCTGGGAGACCTTGAATAACTTATACCTTCTCTGACCTGCACGCTCTCAACTACGTACTGCAGCTGGGATTCGTTGACACGGTGTACACAAAGCAGCTAGAGTCTTGTGGCCACCTAGCACCTGCTAGGGGCTCTGTGGGTTGCAAATATTTTTTATAGATTTTTATGAGCTAATAAAGTGAGGAACCTGTGGTCAGATGGACTAAGAGTGATAGAGAAGGCAGTTGAGACAAAGACACTGAGCGTTGGAGAGAGGAATTGCAGTTCATTTGCTTCAGGTTGCATTCTGGGCCCCTGAACTCTTTTTACTTTCTGTCCAGAGAGGAGGTCATAGCCCTGGTTGTCCTGTCTGCATTTTGGGGCACACTTGAGGGATAGGGTCAAGGGGAGATAGATCCCAGGTTGGAGTTCAGTGTTGCCTAAGTCATTGGTGATCTCTCTCATCTCTGGGGTAAGAGGCATCTGGAGTTAGGGGAGGGGAGGAAGTGGATGGCTGGGCTTGTGGTTCCCTTGTATGATTTTTATGGTGGCTGATATTGCAGCTACTGTAATGTTCTATTACCACATACCTTGATAAAGATGCTGAAGTTCTCTTCTTGGCTGAGCTCAGTCATGTGGGCTGAAGATAAGGGCATTGTGTGCTTTCCTTGCCCTTGGGTTCTGATGCTTCTTGATCTGCAAGAGAGCACTTGTGTGTCAGAAGGGAAGGAGCCCTTGCCCTGGGATTGGTTGAGCCTGCTCTGTAGGGAAGCCTGTTGGTAGCTCCAGCTTCATGTGACTCCAGATAACAAGGGATGATGACCTCTTCCTTGAATTTTCTGATCTGGACTAAACGTTGTTGTTGCTATTTTGTGTTTTTGGAAGTGGCATGCTACAATAGGAAAAATTCTGCATGGGAAGATGAAAATCCAGAAACCTCGGTTCTGTTCCTTTCTGTGTCAGTAATTCATTATTTTGTTTTGGGCTTGGTTCCCCTTCTCTCTCTCTCTCTCTCTCTCTTTTTTGAGACAGAGTTCTGCTCTTGTTGCCCAGGCTGGAGCGCAATGGCTTGATCTCAGTTTACTGCAACCTCCGCCTCCCGGGTTCAAGCGATTCTCCTGCCTTAGCCTCCAGAGTAGCTGGGGTTACAGGCATGTGCCATGATGCCTGACTAATTTTTAGTAGAGGCAGTTTCTCCATGTTGGTCAGGCTGGTCTCGATCACCTCAGGTGATCCACCTGCCTCAGCCTCCCAGTGGTGTGATCGCTACTCACTGAAACCTCCACCTCCTGGGTTTAAGCGATCCTCCTGCCTCAGCCTCCTGAGTACAATGCCCTGCTTATTTTTGCATTTTTAAATAGAGATGGGGTCTCACCATACTGGCCAGGCTGATCTTGAACTTTTGACCTTGTGATCCGCCCGCCTCAGCCTCCCAAACTGCTGGGATTACAGGCGTGAGCCACTGCGCCTGCCCTACTTTATTGAGTTCTTACTGTGTGATCTACATTGCATAGCGAACTTTATTATCTTATGAATTCTCACAACAGCCCTGGCAGATAGCATATATTTTTTATAGAAGAAGGAGGCAGGGAAGAGGGGTGGATTTTGCAGGGGTTCTCTCTATTTCAGTAAAACCAAAGAGTAAGTTTTGGTAGTGCTGGTAGGCATGTAGGCACATTGCATGTGACAGGCAAATTCAGTCAGTTGATACCAACTTCAGTTTTCTATGTGCCCAGCCCTGTGTCAGGTGCCCAGGGGCTACTAGTAAGACTTATGAGATACTATCCCTGACCTCAAGTGGTTTAAAATTGAGCTTGAAGTTGAGATGGCAACTCATAAAACTATGTGATAAACATGAAGTGGGGCAAGTTTTGTGGAAGAAATGGGACCTGAACTGGGCCTGGAGAGTTGTATTTGGGTAGCAGAGAAGTATATGAATATTGGTGGTGGTTGGAAATAAGGGGCATGGTGCTGATATGACTATTGGTGGTGGTTGGGAATGAGGGGACATAGTATTAATAGAAAGCCCAGGAGCAGGAATCAATGGGATATGTGCAGAAGACAGTGAGGAGATCAAGTTGATGGAGCAGAAGGTGCCTGGTGGAGAGTAGTGGGAATATAGCTAAACACATAAATACAGGCAGCTTCCAAAGGCTTGTGACAGACAGACTGAGGACTTTTATGAAGTAAGTAATAGGGAAACATCATGTTTTGGGAAACAGGGACATAATGGGATTGGACCAGAAAGATAGTGGAGGTGGGGATGGGCAGGAGGCCTTTGCTATGGTATAGGATTTCCTGCTCAAGCAAAGTCCAAAAACACTCAATTATTCCTATTTTACAGATGAGGAAGTTGAGACTCAGAGGTGTGTTACATGTGTGTAACTTTAAGGGGAGGTAGAAGTGTGTAGAAGTTTAGTTTTGTTATGTGGCTATATTGCATAGTAGTGAAGTCTGGGCTCTTATTGTGTCCATCATCCAAATAGTATTGTATCCATTAAGTAATTTTTTATCATCGACTCCCCGGCCGTGTGTGTGTGTGTGTGTGTGTGTGTGTGTGTGTGTGTATCATATTTCTTTATCCAATCATCCATTGATAGAAATTTAGGTTGGTTCCATATTTTTGAGGCTCAGAGGGGTTAAACCATCTGTTTAGCGTTCAGTGAGTAGCATGTGACGGACTGTGGCATAGAGCCCTGGCCATCATGTTGTCATGGAGCCGATCTTATTGACTTAGCCTTTAGTTTGAGAACTTCCTATAGAGGAGGAGGAGGAAGAGGAGGATGAGGAGGATGAGGAGGATGTAGATAGTGATGATTCACACATCTTTTTAGCAGGGCGATGGGGTTAGGTGCTGATGTATGCCTGGTATTGTGCCTTCCATATGCGATCTCCTCCAGTCCTCATGAAGATCATAATGTCTGGCAGTGGGGTGGGTCGGGGGTGTTACTACATACAGGTTGAAACTCAGAGAGGTTCAGGACTTGACTGAGGCATCTCAGCCAGTAATTGGTAACAGCAGGTTTTGGACCTAGGCTTCTCTTTGCCCAGTTCACAGATTCTCACTGAAGGTGACCAGGCTGCCTGGCTAGATCTGCTCAAAGCCAAGAGGTAGCCATTGTGGTTGTGGGGAATCCCTGTAAGGACACTAGGGGTCTCGGGAACTTACATCATGATGGAGTGATAGGTGTCTGCCTCCCATGCTCCAGGTCACAGTTGTTCCCAGCTTCTGGAAACTTCCTTTAATCTATTCCATGATGGTAGCCTCTTCCCATTTCCTTACACATGTGTTTGAAGACTCAATTGATGTCTTGTATGGTATACATGTGTGTGTTTGTGGGCATATATGTATGTTTGGGTTGTGTGGGGAGGGTGTGTGGGTGTATGTGTGGAGGGGGTATGTTGGAGTGTCGGTGTCTGTGTGTAGTGGGGTGTGGGTTGTTTGTGGGGACATATGAGTGCGTGTGTGTGTGTGTGTGTGTGTGTGTGTGTGTCAGCCTGTAGATGTGTGTGGGAGGGTTATGAGTGTGTGTGAAAAACATTGAAGAGGAATGTAGAAGCAGCTCAGTAAACAGTGAACGGCCCTTATGCCAGGTGGGAATGGGATCACTTCCTTTAGATGGCCATTTTGTGATTTCTGCAGAGGAAGTTGAATGACATTGAGAAAGCTTGGGTCCTTAGTGGTGGCTGGGGCCTGGGGGAGCTTCCTTTTTCTTATAAACAGGAGCTTCTGACAGGGAGTGACATAGAACTGTTTGCTTTGTAATAGCTGGTTTCTGAAAACAGGAAAATCTTTACTCTTGCTGTGAGGATTGAAAGCTTGTGCTTTGGAGGAATCGTGTCTGGAACCTGTTTGAACAGTGTGAAGAAGGGTTTAGCATCCCTGGGGTTCAGATTCAAAGAATGAGTTCAATTCTACCTATTGCCATATTTTAGCTGTGTGGTTTTTGTCAAGTTACCTAACCTCCCTAAGTTGTAGGTTCCTCAACTGTAGTGAGTTACAGTAACTACCACCAACACCAGCAACAAAACCTAGCATGTGTTGAACTTACAGTGTACCAGGCACCATGCAAGAGTGTCCTATGTTCATTATCTCTTTTATTCCTGACACAACCCTATGAAGCAGGTAGTGTTGTTATCAGCATTTAGTTGATAAAAGCTAGTTCCTCCCTTTTTCACCTCTCACCTACCGAAAAAAAAAAAAAGAAAGAAAAAATAATTGGTAGAGCTAGGATTTAATTTCAGATGTTGAGACACCAGAGTTGTTTGATATATCATAGACCTGTTATGAGTTATAAAGGAAATTATGTGTAAAATGCTTAATATAGCTCCTGGTACTTCATGAGCTTTCAATAATGTTAGCCATTTATTGTGTTTTTAGTCTCACTCTGTTCATTTTTGTCTTTTGCAGAAGCAGCTGACACAGGATGATGATACTGATGAGGTTGAGATTGCTATCGACAACACAGCTTTTATGGATGAGTTCTTTTCTGAGGTAGGCAGGCTTCCTGTATTTTTTTCTAAATGTACATAAGGAAACACTTCTTCTTTAGTAAGAATAAAAAAACCTTAGATTTTTCAGGGTAGCAGAGGAAGGTCAGAGTCTTTTGCTAGGGTGGATGGCTGGACGAAGAAATTAAAATAGCATTCTCTTTTCAATATTTACTTGAAAGGGTCTGGATTTTTAAAAATCTTATTAAGAAAGTCAGTAGAGGGTCAATTATATGTAATTGAAGAGATGCTTTTAAAGTCTTATGCCATATGACAACATTTTAATGATATCCTTTCTTGCTTAAAGTACATAATAAATACAGAATCAGCTGTAGGATCACAACCATGAGTATAAAACATTGCATCTTTAGGTTTGTGATTCAGATACATGAAATATGTCACATAACAAATACAATATCAACCATAGGGTCATAACCATGAGTATAAAACATTGCATCTTTAGGCTTGTGATTCAGATACATGAAATATGTCACATAACAAATCAGAATCAACCATAGGATCACAACTGTGAGTATAAAACATCATATCTTTAGGCTTGTGATTCAGATACATCAAATGTGTCACATAACAAATACAGAATCAACCGTAGGGTCATAACTGTGAGTATAAAAAACATTGCATCTTTAGGCTTGTGATTCAGATACATCAAATGTGTCACATAAGAAATACAGAAACAACTATAGGGTTACAACTCTGAGTATAAAACATTGTATCTTTAGGCTTGTGATTCAGATACATCAATTGTGTCATTTAACAAATATAGATCAACCATAGGAGCACAACCATGAGTATAAAACATTGTATCTTGTTGGGTGAGGGGAATAGGGGAGGGACAATGGGGGGTGGGGAGTTGGGGAGAGGTAGCATGGGGAGAAATGTCAGATATAGGTGATGGAGAGGAAGGCAGTACATCACACTGCCATGTGTGTACCTATGCAACAATCTTGCATGTTCTTCACATGTACCCCAAAACCTTAAATGCAAAAAAAAAAAAGGCAGAAAAAACCCCCAAAACATTGTATCTTTAGGCTTGTGATTCAGACACATCAAATGTGTAGCTTTGAAAATTTTGGGGCCGGGCACAGTGGATCACACCTGTAATCCCAGCACTTTGGGAGGTTGAGGCAGGTGGATCACTTAAGGTCAGGAGTTTGAGACCAACCAGCCCAACATAGCGAAACCCCATCTCTACTAAAAATACAAAAATTAGCCAGGCGTGCCAGTAATCCCAGCTACTCTGGAGCCTGAGGCAAGAGAATCACTTGAACCCAGCAGGAGGCAGAGGTTGCAGTGAGCCGAGATCATGCAACTGCACTCCAGCCTGGGCAACAGAGTGAGACTTGGTCTCAAAAAAAAAAAAAAAAAAAAAAAAAAAAAAGTATATATACTATATCTATCTATCTATCTATATATATATTTCCTTTGACTTAACTCTAGTGGTAATTGAGAAACCAAAACTTCCAGTTTATTTTTGTAAAAGTTCAACAGAGGCAAAAAGGGTTCATGTCTACAGATCCATGTACTCTGATCTTAAAGGTCCTCGTTGAGATGGTGCTATGATAGGTAGATGATTCACCTCTACAAGGTGAAAAGCTTGTAGAGGCGGTAATATACCATGGATGAAAATACTGGTGTTGGAGCTGGGTAAACTTGGGCCCGAATCTCAGCCCTGCTTCTGAGAAGCTATTGATTTCATGAACATTCCTGAACAATCTGTGCCTGAGTATCCTTACCTGTAAATTAGGATTGATAATCTAATTTCCTATAGGCAGGATCACCTCAGCCCAGGAGTTTGAGGCTGCAGTGAGGTATGATCATGCCACTGCACTCCAGCCTGGGCAACAGAGTGAGACCCTGTCCCCTAAAAAAAAAAAAAAAAAAAAAAATCACTGGTGATCCAGTTTTTGGGTGAGAGAAGAAAAAAAACCCTAAACAACAAAAATCTCCATGGAGTTTTGTAAGGATTAAGAAGGATAATGTTTGAAACACAGCATAGCATCTGGCATATATGTGCTTAATGAATGATACTTCACCATTGTGGAAGTCTCTGCCACCATATTATAGTTTCTTAGGTTTTTAATTTCCCTGGAAAGAAAACAACAGGTATTGTGCTCTTTTTGCAGAAAGAATATGATGCTTCCCATCCTCTAGACTGTGGAAGTGGAAAAGTAACCCTCCAGTTCTTTTCTGAATGGAATGGAGTAGGGCTTGATGATTCGTGCTCATTTATCTGTTAAAGTAATAAACAGAAATTAAGAGCAAACTTGAGTGTGTGCTGGCCTCATTAGGAAGTTGGCTGTAAACTCTCCACAGATCCCCACCCTCCTCATGGGTGGGTCCATCAGAGTCATAGTGAGATCAAACAACACTTAGGCTTTGTGAGTCCAGTGTTATGCCAGTTGTGGGTTGTGGATTGTGGAAGGACAATATCCTTCCACTCCCTGGTGGGGACTTAAGGAGATGTTTGAAGTCTTTCTAGCCTGTCTCAGTCTGCCTTGGAGAACCAGATACATTAAAGAACTTCCCTGAGATAAGGAATCTTCTCCAATAACAGTGTTCTCCTTTTTCTTCTGAGCCAGTCAGAGCATTCTCTAAGAGAACCCTCTTTGTTAGGTGGGAAGATGGTGGGTTTTGGCCCCTAAACCATGGTTTGAGCCTACTTTTCAAGCATTTCATAGCGGTGTGACCTTGGTCAGGTTGCTTAACCTCTCTGAGCTTTAATATCCTGCTCTGGAAGTTGGGAGTGTTGGTACTTACCTTTCAAGGATGCCATGAGGATCATATGAAATTACATGTCTGGGAAGCATCATCAGACAGAAAAGCACTGGACGGGTGATAGCTACTTCTGTAGAGGCCTTTGAAGATTTAACAAGACCTCCAGAGCATTGCTTATTGCTTTCTCTTTGTTATATGCATGTCTGTCATTTAGGGAAAAACCCCATGAAACCTATATCATATTTAGGGTGGAAAAGAGGGACAGCGTGGGGAGGTGGAAAGAGCATGGTCTTTTTTTTTTTTGAGACGGAGTTTTGCTCTTGTTACCCAGGCTGGAGTGCAATGGTGCGATCTCGGCTCACCGCAACCTCCGCCTCCTGGGTTCAGGCAATTCTCCTGCCTCAGCCTCCTGAGTAGCTGGGATTACAGGCATGTGCCACCATACCCAGCTAATTTTTTGTATTTTTAGTAGAGACGGAGTTTCACCATGTTGACCAGGACGGTCTTGATCTCTTGACCTCGTGATCCACCCACTTCAGCCTCCCAAAGTGCTGGGATTACAGGTGTGAGCCACCACGCCCGGCCAAGAGCATGATCTTTGAATTAAATTTCATATCTGCCACTAACTGTGTGATCTTGGTCACATTCCTGTTCCAAGTATCAGTGGGCTTATCTGATTATCTAATTCGCAGTTGTCTATATTTTCCTTGGTCTGTTTGCTCACTTGGCAGAGAGTAAAGTTTCAGAGGAAACAGACCTGCCTTTGGAGGCAGAAACATTAGGGGTTTATTGTTCTGTATTCATTTATTCATCAAAATATTTGAGTGCTTTGTTATGCTTACTGTATTCAAGACAGCACGTTGGGTGCTGGGGATACAATGTTCTGTGTGACAGGATTCTTGCCCTCTGGTGTCTCCTTATCTGGTAAGGGAGATAGAAATTCTTAAAACATTGTTATATGATAGTAAAAGTGTCAGTAAGGGATCATGGGAGCACAGAAGAGGAAGCGTTACATTCTGCCTGAAGAGAGGAATGCGAGGGAAGGTTTCCCTGGTTCTTAAATAGACTTGTCATCAGAATCACCTGGGGAGCTTTTTTGCACCTACGCATACCTGATTCTTAGGGACTGGAGTGGCTCAGACTTTTGGATTTGTAGGAAGTTCTTGCAGATAATTCTGTCATCTACTGCAGCTGTGCACCACTGCACAGTGATGGGGAACCTTTGAGGGTTTAAACAAGAAAGTGATGGGCTCAGAGTGTGTTTTAGAAAATTCATTCTGATGGCAGTTAGTGGAGGGTGTGAAAGACCCGAAGTGGAAAGACCAGCAAGTCGGCTGATGGAGCGCAGGGGGAAAAGGATGAGAGCTTTGACCTGAATCTGTGATCCAGAGCAGCAGTGTAGCCTATCATTTAGGGATGCTTTGGACTAACTGTGGCTTAAGCAATAAAGATATGTAATTATTTTGCATATGAAGAAGTTTGGGGTTAGGTTTGGTGCTGTTTAAAGGTCAAGTTGGGGTTCTAGGTCAGCACTGCTGTGATCCTCTTGACTTTTCTCTTAGGATTGCGAGAGTGAGTCTGTTCTGATGATCTATTGTTATATCACAACATATCCCTGACATTTAGTGGTATAAAACAACTACTTTGTTATGCTGACAGATTCTGTGGATTAGGAATTCCAACAGGGCAAAGTGGGTCCGGATTATCTCTGCTCCACAATTTCTGGAGCCTTTATTGGGAAGACTTGAACAACTGCAGGCTAGGATCTCGTAGAGGCTTTTTAAATTCTACAATCTTGTGCCTTCACTGGGTGGTTCAAGGAAAAAGCTTAGCAGAGACTGTCCATTGGAGTACCTAAACTTGGCTTCTTTCTGTGGCTTGGGCTTCTCCTAGCTGGCCCACTTAGGGCTATTGAGCTTGCTACGCCGAAGCTCAGGGAGGCAAGGCAAGTGTTCCAGCTACAGAAGTTATGTAGCACATCACTTCTGCTTGGCTCTATTATTGAAGCAGTCACAAGCCTGCCAGATTCAAGAGAGCAGTACATAGGCCCATCTGCCTGTGTTTTGAAACGACCAGAGATACAGCTCCGTTTGGCATCGCCCTCTGACAACATTGCCGGCATTAGGAAAAGGTGCGGCTAGAAAAGTCCAAAGATCCTTTCATCAGGGAGGAAAACTGCCCAGGTCCTCCAACCTGACTTCCCTTGTGGCCTCCTGGATAGCACTGGGTCACATGGTGTGGGCACCCTTAGCTGGAAGGGACCCCAGG